CGCAAAGATTGCGTGTAACCCTTTGAGTGGAGCTCTGGCAGAGTTGTTTCCCTCCCCAGAAACAGTCCCCATAGCAGGGGCTACGTGACAGGTAGGGCACGGCCGCCCGCTGGCACCGCGGCACCCCGGGGCACGGCCGCAGGCTGCAGAGGGTCGGCGGAGGCAGAGAACTAACTCTCTCTCAAGAGGCAATCCCTATTTAAAATGCCATCTTGTTCTTCCGACTGCTGCCTTTTACGTGCCGTTGAGGTAAGATTTTCCATATCGAATTACCCTCCGGGTTTTTGTTAGATTCGCCTTCTCTCGCTAGGATGCGGAGCGTTTTAAACGGGGAGTTCATTTAAATTTGGGACCTGCACGTTCGCCCGGAGAAATAATTTTGCGGCAAGTGTCTCTCGCTGGAGCAGAACAATGCAAAGAGGGAAGCATCTGTATAATTCAGGAGGTGGGGAGAAGGTTCCTGACTTGTTCTCTCATCCCCATTAATATTTAGGATGTGCAGCGTATGCACATTCGGTTTCGAACTACTTTCAAGCTAGGATCAAAAGAGAAGTCAGGGCAGGGAGAGAAATGTGTGGACTGTGCTAGGTAATTGATCCGCCGGCAAACTGCAAGTGGGACTTCCCCGTGTGAAACAATCAAAAGTTAGTGGGGAACAGGAGAGCCATTTTTAATCTTCGGGGTCTCGGCCTGCTCCTCTGAGAATGTTCAGAGGCCTCCGATGGGATCGCAAAGAAAATCGTGTGTGTTTGACTGGATGTAATTTCTCTCGCCCGCTGTTGCCAAAGTACTCTCTCGACATTGTTTCACGTTTGCTAACCTTACACAGCTTTATACAGAACCTGCTCTCTCACTTTTTCTGTGTACGTGGTCATATTAACCCTGCTGAATCTTTGTTTAGTGCAGGGAGGTGTTGGGGAGGGGGGAGGGGAAATAGGGCTAGGGGGCATCGAGGGAAAGTGTTATAAAGTGAATCATCCATTTCATTTGTCCTGGCTGCCAAGGTGCCTGGAACCCTCATGCCAAGAGGATGATGCTTTTCTACAGTAGCTGTGTGGTTTGCCTATGTTCAGAGCTGTTGATCTGTAAGTGTACCCTTTATGTTGCAGGATGTAAAAGTCTTTAGTGAAGATGGAACAAGCAAAGTGGTCGAGATTCTAGCAGACATGACAGCCAGGGACCTCTGTCAGCTGCTCGTTTACAAAAGTCATTGTGTGGATGATAACAGCTGGACTCTAGTGGAGCATCACCCTCACCTAGGATTAGGTAGGGAATGGTCAAAGGGGTGGCATGGTTACCTGGGAACATAAAATATGTGTAATTCGTATAAATGTGCTTCCAGACGGAACATCTTCTTTCCACTGCTTTTATTTGTACAATTAGCTGAAGTCACATACGTGCTTTTTGTGTATTGCAATTTGATGTGTTAAGCGTTTAAGCCATTTTAAGTCCTTCTCTTATTTCCCATCCTCTGTTTTTTTATTATATATAAAAAAAGAATTGTCTAATCTTCACGCTAGTGCTCTGTTGCTACCTTACTGTGTCTGAAGCTATTGCAAATAAACAGCTTAGGCAAATTAAGCTTGATCCTTAGAGTATGGTCCTGTGAAACAGCTCAGCTCATCACCAGCTGGGAGACCTGGGTGAACAGACTCAGCTTTGCATACCTACAGTAATGCTTATGAAAGCTAGACATGGTGAGGTGGGGGAGGGGGTTAGCTAAACTTGACTTCAGGCAGGGAAAAAATGGTGGCACCACCCGCAAATCCATGGGCAATTTCTGGACCAGCAGTGGCATCTGCTCTCCAGGCAGCAGCTCCTCCACCTGATTGAAATTAAGGTGTCATGGTTACAGTTTCAAGAAGGCAGCCAGAGGAAGAACCGTGGGGAATTAAATAATACTGTGAATTGGTTTAATTACAGTACCTGAAAGGATCTCATGTTATTCAGTCTTGCTTTTCCTGTTATTTTGTTGCACTGATTAGTTGCAGGGTTCTGCTCTGCAGCTTGCAACTGCGTATCGCTCAGATAACGCTATCTATGATTCTATGTAGCATACAATAACGCTTTGGGAAGTGTAGCAATTGGAGTATTACTCGATATACTTCACGGGGAATTTTTTTCTAGAAAACAGAGGAAGACAAATCATAAGCTGCGAGCACCAGCACTGGAATTGTGAATGCTATCTGTAGCTAACCAGAGGGGGGTTTATGTCTAAAAATGTAATTCAGAGCCCTTACAAATAAAAAAAAAAAAAAAAGAAACAATTTGCTGGAAATGTGATGCCCTAAACCAGTACTGTTAAATGCTGATAAATTCACTGCTGTGCAGACTAACACTTACAAAAACCCAAACCCCATAGGATAGCCTGATAATTTAATGGTTTTGTTATCTCTCCTAATGTAGAAATATGTGAAAAAATAAAGATGAAACACTCACTTGGTGTATGTTTCTGATACACTTTCGGTTCTGAGGACATAGGACAAGGTGAAGAATTAAGGTATAAATTACAGAACCTTTATCTCCGTAGCTTAGTATGCCACATGCACTTCTAAAAACCTTTACAAATTTTCAGTTTTATCAATGCTCATTAAACTACCAGACTCTTTTTCTATATTCTCTTTCCCATCATTGCTGATTACCAAGGTATTGTGTAAACAGAAGCCTTCTCCTTTGTAACCAACATCCTTCTCCTGCCAGATTCATTCAATGATGCCACAATTCAGTGTTTGTGACATCACAATAGCTTCCATGGTGACTAATTGTGCTGTCAAACTCTGGTGTGTGACATCTCTGAATGAATCGGGCAGGAGGCTGATTAGGAAATCAAAAGCTTCTGTTTACACACAAATAACTTGGTAATTAACAATGATGGGAAAAGTGCAAGATACTTATCGGGCTGCATTTATATACATAGGGACCTGCCTGCCTTGGACCTCTGTTTCACACTGAAGCACAAAGCAGGCTTCCAGAGGAGCAGGGTGTGCAGGTTGGAGCTTCAGTAGCCACCAAACTTTGTTCCGCAGAGACTGCTCCAGGGCTGTCCTCTCTAGGCCATGTAGTCGCTCTGTGTGAAAAGTAATGCAACCTTTGGGGCTCTAAAGCAAACAGACAAAAAAGTATTTAAAGAATCAAAAGAGATGTAATTATACGGATTTCACATATTTGAAAGGATGTGGACAGAAAAGGAAATAAATGAGTTCATTTAACAAGAGACAACATCATGCAGTTTCTTGTATTTGATGACCAAAGTATACACTGTGACATGTTCAATAAACTTTAAATACCAACTTTCACGCATCCACCAGTTTTGGTTGCAGTTTGACTTTTTTTGTTATTTGGCTGCTTATTTCTTTCAAGCTTCTCAATAGCTTAAGTGCTTCTCTGTTTTTCAGAGACTATCAAATCAAGCTACTAATGTGTCTGCACCCTAGGTGAAGTTATTATCAGTTGTCTGATGTTCCATATTTCCCCCTCTAGATGTAGGATTGCTAGTATAAGTATGAAACAATGGTGAATAAGTGCTTTCCAGTGTGGAAAGAAATATGGTTTAAGAACAGTGAGAATTCTGTGTTTCCAGAAGACATTATTTCTTCCACAATACATCCTTGCTGACTTAATGCTGTAGGTGGTAATCTTGAAGCCGACCAAAAGAGAGGAGCTCCTTCATTTAATTCACTATCTTTTTCTTTCCCCGTGATCTTGCCTAATACTGCTTTCCAAAAGAGCTCAGTTTGCAGAACCAGTTCATCTTTATATTATTGGGCAGACTGAGCACAGGATCAAATTTTTGAAGCCAGCTGCATATTTATCATTGCAGTGGTCTTCTAGGTCCCACCTTGTGTGGAAGCCTGACCCGACTGCTTACTTTGCACATGTAGTCAAGTATATTCCAAATAGCACGTGTGCTTGCAAGGAACTTCAAGTAGCTATTGGACTGCACAAAGTATTAGTGTTCTCCCTGGAGGCAATGTTGTGACAATTTACCGTCAGAGTTTCTTAGATCTGACATTTGAAAGTGGTTCCTGTTGCACCGTACCACTGTACCAAAGCATTTTGTGGTCGAGATTTAAGCAGTCTGTAAAACTTGAATTGGTCCCATTATTTCATTTACTACTAAAAATACACCTAACCTGTTCATAAAATGTGGTGTTTTCTCTATGTGCTACTCCATGCTTAACTATCATCGCTTAGGACGGGGACAGATCTCTGTATTGGACATTAACAGAAATAATAATGATGAAGACATGTCATGATAGTATGTGTCTGGACACTGAAAGAATCCCTACCTACATGTTTCATTTTTCCAGCTCCAGAATTGACTGTACATCTTATGAAATACAGGTGGAGCGGGAAAGAAAAGTAGTAGGGTTCTGAAATATGTGAGGGTTAGAGGAAAGCATTGCTGCAGTTTTGTATATAGATTTTCTTGTTTACCTGAGCATTGATTTGCGTTAGTGGGAATGAATTGAAAGTGGAACAGTTAGACACTAACTGCTTGCTAAAACACAAAAACAAGGAGGGCTATTTCCTACGAGGGTCCACCTGTCATTCGTAGTGACTCTTTAGCTGGGAATTTTGGGCCATGCCTGTGAGTTGTTCATGATGGAATCCTGCTCCTTTTCCCTCCTTGTATCACTGTTCCAATTCTATAGAAGTTTTGATAACAATACAGAGTGATTTGGGGGGAAAAAACACGTCTGTGCTTCTAGCAAGTGTGTAGAGGAGACTGAGTGGAGCCTATCAGATAAACTGAAAGGACACATTTCTGGTCACTTCAGCAGCAATGCCACTTCAAGACAGACTGACCTATTGAACTTAACAGGCTGACATCTGTGCTTCTAGTTTTGTAGCAGGAAGCTCAAAGCAGGGCTGAGGCTGAGTTGCTCATGTGTCAAGTGGCAGTTCATCCCATTTGTACTAACTGAGGACAAATTACCAAGGACTTCCCAAGTGTGCAACTTCTATGAAGTAGTAGCAAATTGTCCAGGACTGGGTTTTTTTAACATGCATGTGCTATGAAGTGCTGCACCTTTTCTCCAAGATGGCTTTTACCATCAATATGAAAATACAAACATTAAATCAGTGGGAGTATCGCCACAGAATCTCAAAAGGGTCTTGATTTACTAACAGAATATCTAGGTCAGTTGTCTGAAGCATCTTCGAAAGAGGCACTGAATATATCTAACCATCAAAATACAAAACCAATGTATAGATTGGTTTATCTATACTGCATTTCCTCAGAACAGAATGAAGTTTGTCCCTGCCCTTAGGTGTGCAATTTTCACTGCATTAGGAAAGTGAAGACCACAACTTTGTGTGGTGGCAGAAGCAGACAAGTAACAGGACTTGTGGCCTTTTAGGATTCTCACTGTGATGAAGTTTCATACCAATGAAATTAAATGTTTTTAGAGGAAGCGTAATTTAAAAAACAGGCCCTCCACCCTCATAGACCCACCATCCTCATCACAATGTGGAGGAGATTTGACTTAACTAGTTGCTTAAAACCACGATAGTAGAAACATAGCAGCAGCAATACCTGAAATTTCACCTGTGAAGCCCCTAGATAATGTGGAGGTTTAGGTAATGAATGCTGAGGTGGTGCAAAATGTCTTTAATAAACAGCCACCAGTAGCAGTATTGTTGCACCTATTGCTCCAAGAACTACTCCTTAAAAGTGGTGTTATGTCTAATGCACTAAGAAACAGTTCTTTATTTGAGAGCAGGCCACAATGGAAATTTTTCAATGAAAACACAATCTATAACAATGCTGGACATCACAAATGCACAGTAAATGCTGAAGTCATCAATGAGCTGGTGGTGACTGACAGCCTAAATGCAGGTGAAAAAGACAATGGGATCATTCAGACATAGGTTAAATTTTCAATCAAACAACATACATTGATCTTCTAAATTCAGTATTTCAAGTGACATTTCAAGAGCTTGCTACTTTTTGAGATGCCAGTGACTGCTTGCTCTCTATCCTGAAAACACTCCAAGAGAGCTTGGGTTGCACCCTGGAATTTCTAACTGTAGGAATGCAAGGATGCAAGAACACGATGTGGGGAAGGGACTCTCCAAACTTCTTTAGTCAGCAAGTCAGATGCATTTTGTTTAAAGCTTTGCAAAATTTATGTTTTGTTTGACCTCAATTTTAATTTCCTCTTATATAGGGGTTGAAAGCACTGACTACTTAAAACTTTTGAAAAATACCAAAATATTTTCTCGGAAAGTTCTGAAGGCTTGCCAAGATAATGAGTTCATTAAGTAGTGCACACTTAGCCAGTTGCCTTCTTTTGAGTTACTGCTTTCAGTGAATTGGATTTGTTAAGCTATCTGTTCATGCTTTGATGTGCCATTCTTTTGACCAGAGAAGTGGTGGTTATGGGGAGTTACCTTGTAACCAAATCTAGAGCAGAAAATTGCCCTGTCATGTGTACAAAACATTTGTCTCTGTCAGTATTCCTGTAAAGTAGATCCTGTGACCTCTTTCATAATAAACCCCATTGTCTAGCATCTACAATAAAGGCCTGGAGTTCACCTTGAAATGAACTGGTTTTATAGAGTGCGATCAAATAGGACACTGTATTTCTGTGATAGTTCAAGACCTAATGGTGGCTTTTCTGTAACTTTTCCCCCCCTTAAATCTGTCCACCTTTCCACTTCCATAACATTCAACCAGCACCAAAAGAAGGGGTTTGTCTGTATTACTTAAGCTGCTGCACATAGAATATCTACAGTTCTTTTCTTTCTTAAAAGTCTCTCCTTATGAAGCCCTGGGATAGGAAATCTTAGAAGAACACTGCCATATAATGTTAAACTTTGTAATGCTTTACAAATAAAGTGTTGCCTCTTGGCAATATGGTTTGAAAGCTGGAATGTTTTGCTAGTTTCTTAAAAGGTAATGGAATTACACTGGGTTGTTTTAATCCTGTTCTTTGGAAGCTGGTCTCGCTGCTTCTGCTGGTTGGCTGTGTGCTAATATCGTGTTCTTTTTCCACAGAGAGGTGCTTGGAAGATCATGAACTCATAGTTCAAGTTGAGTCCACAATGGGAAGTGAAAGTAAATTTTTGTTCAGGAAGAATTACGCAAAATACGAATTTTTCAAAAATCCCATGGTGAGTCTCATTACTTAGTTGTTTACACCACAGAGGGGTGGATTGCAGTAACATTGCTGGGCACTGTTATGTCTTAAACATCTATTATAAAAAAAACAGGCAACCAACTAACAGAATTCTTTCCAAAGAAATTTTAACCAATGTTTAAATTCCTTGTACTCTCCTCCCAGCCTAAAAACCGCAAGTGTTTTCAAGTTACCAAATATACTTGTTTCAAAATGGCTGTTGTTATGTTGGAGAGTGACCAACACAAGGAAATCTTTGAAGATAATGAGTAAATTGCACTTCTGTTTATTTTCCTTAAAGCAACAAAGTTACTTGATTTGAAGTAAATCGATTGCATAACATACAGTATTCAGACCTTTTCGTTTCTGACAGTAATAATTTAAAACAAACGAACAAAACTCACTAGATAACCCCTAAAACACTTACTATGTACACGGAATTTCCAGTTTATCATTATACATACAGAAAATTTTTCACCTATGGCTGTGCTTGACTAGTGTGCTCTGCCTTCTTTACTGACCATAGTAGCTTGCCCTCTCTGTCCTTATGTATATCCATGCTTGAAAAGTATCGTATGTCATAGCTATAATTATTCCTGTCTTTGTAAGATCCTTTGAATGTTGTAATTTTAAACTGGCTTATTTGGGGATGATTTTTCACATATCATCTAAACAATTAAGTTGGAATGAACCGTTGACATGAACCAAGGTCAGCTAGTGTGACCCATCTAGGTAGCCAAAGCAGGATTGTCCAGAGGTGGTTAGGGAAGAACAGATTTTGGGTCAGTCAGGCATTTGTGGTGCCAGAAGAATAAGATACATGAGGTCACATGTAAACTCATTGCTGAAGTAGCTGCGGATGATAAATTCCTTCCTTGCCTCATAGATGCTAATGCACAGTTGCTGCATCCTCGCACGTGTGCTTGCATGTACATTTGTCATCTGCTAGTGCTTGTTTCAGAGTCTGTGCCTTGACTTACTGTGTGAAATGTTTCTGAACATGGAGTGTTTGTAATTTTTCACTTCTGTTGATCTTCCCATCTGATAACCTATCTGAGTGTTGTACAGAAGTTTTGGTATCATAGGAGCTAGCAGGCACATTGGTTTCATGTGGTATATTTTAATTAATAACAGAGTATGGGAGTAAACCCCAGAATGCTTGGCATTCAGTCCCAGGCTCCTGCAATCACAGAATAAATCATTCTTTTGGTGTAAGAATGTGAAGGCTCCCTATCCGTTGCATTAGCTGTTGCCATATGGCACTGTTTCTACTCAAGAGGCTGGTAAATGTTAGCTTTCATAACTCGTTGTGCAACTTACCTGGCAGAAGGGTGATTCCTCTTCAGCCCTTCTCTTTGTGCCCTAAAGACCAAACTTTATATTGCCTGAAGAGTGATGTATATTCTAAACTGGAAGTGCTTTCGTTGTGATTCATCTTGTTATAATCAGTCATTGTTTTATTTCAGGTATTTCTGCATGTCTCCGTGCTTCAAATAGCATTTAAAGACTTCCAGAATCACTTCATGTCATTGCTGTGTATAGTAAATTCAGCATACCAGATTATATAGGCATTTTAAAACATGGCAAATTAAAGGGGGACTGGAGGAATAAATCTGAAGTCCAGTCATTGATGCAATAAACAAGGAGTCTCTGCATACTCAGTCTGCAGGACCATTCATCCTGTCTTTTGCAAGAAAGTACAAGCTGCTAGAGATCCCCAAAAGCCCTCAGTAGAAGAGGAAGTGATGGGAAAATGCACTTATGAAATGCTGCATATCAGATATTTAAAAAACCCACAATCTGTCTGCATGGGCATCTGGTGAACAGAAGGAAGGGAAGAACTGTACTTGAAAGCCCTAGTATTACTTTCTGTGTCAGGGGATCTCCAAATTGATTTAATAGTGGTAGTTCCAAAAAATGAATGACTGGAAGAAAATCTCACTAGTTCTATGTAAGAGCATTCAAATATAATGTGACTTCCAATTGTCTTCTCTTTTTTTGTTTAGAATTTCTTTCCAGAGCAGATGGTTGCCTGGTGTCAGCAAACAAATGGCAGTATCCCACAGTCACAACTTTTGCAGGTACTGTAAATTATCTGTACGGACAAAGAAAGTTTTGGAGCTGGAGGGGAGAGGTTGAGAGGAAGGAAGGGGAGAATTTCAGAGGTCTGGAAATAGTTGGTCAGAGAAAGACCAGTGTAGTGAGTTAGCATATGGTGCTAGTGTTGAAAATATCTGACAAAGATCTTACCCAATGGCACTGAGGTGTGAGTTATAAACACAAAGTATTCATAGCTATGGTCATACATACTTGTTCCATTAATATTCAACTTACTCTGTGGGTACCTGGTTTGGCCACCTCATGTTGCTCCTAAAACAGTCTTGGCAGATATATTTCTAGAAAAACAAATATACCTTTTATAAAAAGTGGAATAGAAGTACTCTTCTATACTCCACATCATAGTACAGGAGAAAGTGTAAAACTGCATGTGTATATTAGAAGATGAATTTGAGATGATGAGAGGTTTTGCTTTTGCTTTTTATGTCCCATGTTTGCAGCTGGCAGAAATTAACAATAAGGACCAACTTCCCTATGGTTCAGCCAACTAGCTGCTCTTTTGTATAGAAAAATAGTGCCCTAAGAAGTAAGTGCAAGTAGAAATTTGTATATAGTATCTGCAAAGTAATCCCATTTAAAGCTCCCCAGGTTAAATTACAAGGTTGTGTACCTTATGCATATGTGTTGGTAGAGTTGTGTAATCTGTGTGGTAGTGGCACAAGTGCTGAGTTTTGATGTCACTGTAGAGTTTCTTGCTTGCTCATGAAGGAACCGTGGTGGTGGCACAGTTGGTTGGCTTCCAGGAATGGTGCTGAAGGGTGGGCTATCTCTCTATCAGTAACTCATTCCCTTAAATCTCTTGATTTTAGCACTCTGATCTAAACCCCACGGTCTAAATCTTTTTCACTTCAGTTGTTTTTTCAAACTGGAGACATTCAACTCAGGAGGCCAAATTAAAACACAGTTTATTAAAAATGTACTGTGTTAAGAATATAAGATATAAATACATATCTATAAGACCACAATGCCTGTAAAACAGTGCCACAAATAACAGGCAGATTATAAAGCAGAAGGCACAAATACACGAAGAATGTATGCATACAAATAACTGATTTCAGCTTGATTTCTGTAATTTTGCATGTTTGCAAATATGCATTGACCCTCTGTTTAAATACAAGTTTCCACTGACTTTTGAACCACTGCTCTTATTTTGTCCCATAACCATATCAAAATCCATTAAATACTGGTCCACTGAGAAGAATTTAAAATATCAACATCCACTGTCAGCTAGGAAATAAAAAAAAAGTCAAGCCAGTTTCTGGAATTAAAAATGAAAGTCATGTGCAATGAGGTTGTAATCAGAAACCAAAACTGGCATGGACTGGCATTGCCACAGGCTGGTAGAAAGAGAGATGTTCACATCTTGGACCCTTTCCTGTAGCATAAGGAGAGAATTGAGTTTGCTTGTTAATACAAGCAGCAGGATTCCCTAGAAGAGCATGATGTTCTTGAAGACGGAAAAGTTTTGAACCTAGGGTAGCTCATGTGGTAACGAAAGGAAAACCTTATAACCTTGTGAGATATGAGACATTGCTTCTGGGAAGGCTCAGTTAGGTACAGTCCTGGAAAAGCATAAGTCACGGGGCTTAACAGTACAAGAGGGAGGGAGAAAGAGGAACCATTCTCTGTGGTTTGTTATTTAACCATTAAAAAGCAACCGTCCTTAAAGCATTTATATTAACTACTCCTTCCCTTTTAAAAAACACACAACTGTTTTTCAAAATTTCAATGGCAGCTGTAATTTATTGAAGGTAAACACCCTGTAGCCTGGTGTTGAGCGTATTGCATCTGAGGCCACCTTAAACACTGAGCAATTCCACTGTTTTTAGTTATGGACAAAACAGGGAAGAATATTAAATATTATCTCATGATATCATATACTGCATTAAGAGCTAGTTTTTTAGTCTTAACAATGGCATTAAAATCAGCAGCATCTGTTTTCCCTAGTCCCAGTCTGGCTTAGATATGCTAAAAAAGCTTGCATCTTAGTTTACTTTTGTTTTATCTGACTGGACAAAAAGAATATAGTCTTATTTTGGTCTTTCCCTTTCACAGCTGAGAAGTGGGTTCATAGTACAAAAAGGAGGAAAATTGACTGTTCTTTTCCATTCTGTTAGATGAGATGGGGAAGAGGACTGGAAAAAAAATTAGGTTTTAATGCAAGTAATAATTCTGACACAGGGCACTGATTTTTTGTTTTGTTTCCTGTGGTCATTGTCCACCAAGTAACACCAAAACATAGCTTTCAAGAATTGCAGAGGCATCTAGGTCAAAACCAAGTTTATGCATTTTTCTTCATATTGTTGAATTTATTAAATTCGGCATTTAACTTACTGAGCAAGCCCTCTGTCCTTCAAAACCCTGGCCCATTTTAATAAGGGAGCCATCCATCAATTCTCCTACTATAATTAATGCTTCCTTCCTGTGATATATCACAAATCAAATTATTCCATATGTGGTCCCTCTGATTATGTCAAGAACTTAAATGCTTCTGAATCTTGAAGTCTGGCGTAATTGCTGACACTTATTTGACTGCTCTGCGTTTCATTTTCAGTTAAATATTCGGTTGTCTGTCATACCTGTTGTCTTGGGACAATTTTAATGCCAGAAATCCTGAAATAGACTCTTTCCTTTCAAAACCTTCAGGATAAAGATGGAGATTTTGGCCAATGTTTCCAAGTTAGACAATTTTCCAGAATTGTTGTGGCAAGGTATTATTTTTAAGAAATAATAAGCTTACTTTCATTCCCATTAGATCAGGTGCTAGAAGAATGGGGATACAGAGAAATGGTTAGTTTTTTGGAGATTTCACTATTGGCACAGAATTGGAAGATGTCAGCGGCAGGAGGAGTTAGCTAGGTAGACGCAGTGGGAGGAGCAGGAATATCCATTTTGGTCACAAATCAGATTTAACATCTAGGTCAGTTTAAGCCTAGTGTGAAACTGCACCTCAAGTCAGCAAAGTGATTTGTCATTTACTGCTCTGTTCTGCATATACAGTGACAATTTTATAATACATCTATAGGACACAATCTTCATTTACATTTTGCTCTCCAACAGAACTTTTTAAACTCCAGTAGCTGCCCTGAAATTCAAGGTTTCTTGCATGTGAAAGAGCTGGGTAGGAAATCATGGAAGAAACTGTATGTGTGTTTGAGGAGATCAGGACTTTATTGTTCTACAAAAGGAACTTCAAAGGTAAGATAAGTTGCACAGTACTAGCATGTGAAAGCATTTTCTGCTTTTACAGTGAGTATTTTTTGCTGGTTTTTAGGTATCTCCACACAGTGTTCCCTTTTTTAATTCCATAGAAAAGTAAGCCATGATCAAATGACAGTCAAGCCCTGGGCTCTCAATGCATCAAAACCGGCATATAGTTTTGTTATAGATTCATAGAATGAATTACAGAATTTTAGGGGTTGGAATGGACCTTACACATCATCTAGTCCCAACCCCCTGCCACGGGCAGGGACACGTCCCCACTGCACCAGGTTGCTCAAGGCCTCATCCAGCCTGGCTTTGAACACTGCCATGGTTGGGGCATCCACAGCCTCCCTGGGCAATCTGTGCCAGTGTCTCAACACCCTCACAGTAAAAAATTTCTTCCCTATATCTAACCTAAATTTCACCTCTTTCAATTTATACCCATTGTTCCTTGTCCTATCACTACAGTCCCTAACAAAGAGTCCCTCTTTGACTTTCTCATAGGCCCCTTCAGATACTGGAGGGTTGCCATGAAGTCTCCGTGTAACCTCTTCTCCAGGCTGAACAGTTCCAACTTTCTCAGCCTGTCTTTTTAGGTGCTCTAGTCCTCTTAACAACTTCGTGGCCCTCCACTGGACTTGCTCCAACAGTTCCATGTCCTCCTTATGTTGAGGACACCAGAACTGTATGCACTACTCCAGGTGAGGTCTCACGAGAGCAGAGTAGAAAAAGTGATTTTACTAACAAAGTAAAACCAAACTAGCTTGGTAGTGTCATCACTGTGACTACTGAAGTCATGCTAACTTTCAGATTTCTCTGGAGCAATGTAATAGGCTATGCCATTTTTACTGTGATGTGTTTATGTAAGTATTCTGTAAGCTTCTTGTATCAAGCACCTTTTGCTGGTAGGCTGATATTTAGGATGTGACCAGCCATGTCCACTTGAGGCTGCCTGGGAGAGGAGCAGTGTTCATACAGTGCCCTCTGTTGGAGGCTGGGCTTGAGAGACTGCAAAGCTTGCACAAGACGTTCCAAAACCTTACATTTACCTGTGATAAAACACGTTATTTCCGCAGGAGCCAAGACATTTGCAATTGTTGGCTGACCTAGAAGACAGCAATATCTTCTCCTTGATAGCAGGCAAGAAGTTGTACAATGCACCTGCAGAGTATGGATTTTGTATAAAGGTAAATCTTCCAAGAGTTGAGTCCTTCCAAAGTTCAAAGTGGTGTTGGTAGCTCAGTCACCCCAATCCCCAGCTAAAAATGGGATTTGTATGTAAAACTCTGCAAGCCTTTTCTGTCACGAGGACTTGATCTTTAGCATTTTTCATTTGGCAGGCATGTCCTGTGAATCTTGTCATCATTTTATGTGACACTTTTAACACTTTATCTGGTGCTCCTTTGGTTTGGGAAATTTCTGTGCAAGATCAGCTTAGTGCTGAAGCATGGTATGCCTGGGAGGTGGCCTTGGTTCACCTCACAGATGAAAGCTTTTTCAAGTACTCTAATTGAACAGAAAAGTTTCTGTGGACAGCAAGCACCAAAACTTTATAGCAACAAAGAATCAAGCTCCCATGGGATGTAATTTTACCATTATTGTGGGCTAGAGGTTTGCCTTTATTTAAAGAGGAAAACCATCTTGGAAAATGAAAATAAGAATAAGCAGTTGCCTTTGAAGATTTTTAAAGCTGTTGTGCTGATATATAGGTTTGGAAAGTATTTCAAAGCTTTGAAAAGTGTAATTTTCTGAGATGAAAATAAGGCTGGGAGCTGGTTTTATTGACAGCAGTGAAGTAGTCTCCTTCCTAGCAGCCATTCCAGAGCTAGACAACAAGGGTTTGCATCAAAGAGACTGGCTGCAGGACACATCCTGAACTGATGGCAGCAGACTTTCAGTGAACTTCAGTTATAGAAACTTTGGTTTCTCATCTTGAAATGAGGGCTTATAAAACTTCTCACAGATTTGAAAAAAAAAACCAACAAAGCCCAGAAACCTCAACAACCAAAATCCACAAAACTAAATGCCCTGGTCTGGTTCTGGCATGACCTGAGTACCTTGTTCCTATAAATGCCAGAACTGCAGGTTATTTCAAAGCACAGAGTCATAGAATATCCTGAGCTGGAAGGGACCCATGAGGATCATCAAGTCCAATACCTGAAAGTCAGGAGGCACTGATGTTTATCTTGCTGGACTCAGCTAAGAAAGTTGTTTATTTCAAAGCATGCTTAGCCTCTCCTGAGCTTTAATTCAGGGTGGTGTGAGCTTTTTCTGGCCAGTTCTTAAGATTAATACCATACCTGCCTTTACTCTGCAGTAAGCTTACAGTGTTGTTGGTTTTCTACTGAATGTAGCTGACTTCCCTCTAATACTTTAAAGCCCAACAGAGTGAGAAATGAAACTAAGGAACTGCGGTTGTTGTGTGCTGAAGATGAGCAAAGCAGGACGTGCTGGATGACTGCCTTTCGACTCCTCAAGGTACCTTCTCTCTGCTCCTTGAACAAAACGACACTTAGAGTTAAGTTACATTTGTTATGTTGTTCATGAGAAATTACCTATGCGTTCTTAAACATCATCTGCCTCCAAAACAATACAGCTAAGAGCAAAATGCCTCCTCAGATTTTAAGCACAGGACTGAGGTCTATTCCTTCCATGTACGAATCAAATATCATTTTAGTTTTGGAGCCAAATTTGAGATGCGAATGAATCAAAAAACCTGCTTAACCAAGGTATTTACAAGTTATCATAAAGCTAAAGAAAATGTTTTGATAATGGTAAGTGGTTCTCTTACTAGAACAGAGTGCCTTTTGCAAATTTTTTTCAGTTTTTTGAAGGTTTTAGTAAAAGAAGTAATAAAAATAAATCCTCATGACTCTGGGTGAAAGTTATTTATATCTGTTTGAGAGCAAACAAATTTCTTGATAATATGGCAGGAGGCTTCACTGTTTTTTTAAAATTAAATCAGGATGGAGGGAACTGAGGAGAAAGTTGACTATTTTGTGCCCTTTGAAGCAGAGAACCTCCTGATCTTCACAGGGAAATATGCAGAAATTCTGGTTTGGTTTTAAGTCTTTCCCTGAATATGCTGCCTTTGAAGACTGCCATGTTCTTCTCTGTACATTACTCCGACCTCCCTCATATTAAAGGGAATAGACACATTTATAAAGAAATATAATTAATAGGTTCAGATAATGTGTTTCTAGGTAAAATCCCACGCTCTTACGTGTCGTTATCCTACTCTCTAGTATTCTGTGTCTAAGTGTGACATACAAAATGTGATAAAATATAGAGGCAACGCACGTAGTGGGACTGTGGTACTTGATACTTGACCATCAAAATAGGATGGAGAGCTTTGAGTTTTGTCGACTTTGGCTCTCTTGGTAGCAAACAGATAATTTCAGGTTTGGAAATGAGAGCATGACTGTTCCCTCCAGCCAATGAGGTCAGCACACCAGTGTCCTGCCAGTGGCTGCTGTGTGCCAGGCTGTGCCCAAACTGGGACATGCAGCCAGGGGCACTGTGAGCATTTCATCTCTCTGTCCTGGATGAACAGAGTTGCAGTTCCTGCCTAAGCAGCAGCCCACATCAGCAAAGCCTTCACGTCCCTTTCTGCTAAAATGCCCTTTTCCCCAGCAGTGTTTCACACCCACCCACTGAAGAAGATGCATTCCGGCAGTGGGCATCCAAGGAGCTGAAAGGCAGTGTGTGCATTGGATAGAGTATAGGGTTTTATCACTTCCCAGTCCACATGTGGCATTGACTAAGAGAAGCCAGCGAGATTCCTATTGCTGCATGAGCATCATTTATTCCTCCCCTCACTTTCAAAAAAAAGTTTATCTCATTTTTTTATCCTCAAGGCATGACAAGTGTTTGCTACAATTACCTGTTCCTCTCCCCATGCATGTGTGCATTGGATAGAGTATAGGGTTTTATCACTTCCCAGTCCACATGTGGCATTGACTAAGAGAAGCCAGCGAGATTCCTATTGCTGCATGAGCATCATTTATTCCTCCCCTCACTTTCAAAAAAAAGTTTATCTCATTTTTTTATCCTCAAGGCATGACAAGTGTTTGCTACAATTACCTGTTCCTCTCCCCATGCAGACTGTGCTTCAAATCCTGTAA